GACAACTGAAGACTGTCTTAACAAGCACAGCTCATCTGTGCTGAAACTAAGGCTGGGTTAAGATGGGGTTTAGGTCCTCATTAAAGTCCACAGCATAGAGTTTAAGAGGAAATGATGAAATGGTGCTCCCTGAAACATCTCTTCTTTAAATTTAATTAGACAAATTATACTCAAACTAGTAGATGCCCTGGGAAGGCAATCAACATTAGGGCTAATAAAAAGCTTGAATAGTATAAAAGGGCTGGAGGAGGTATTGTAGAACCTTTCTAGCACTTATGAGAGGTAAATTAACACCAATTGCTAAACATAGAAACTGGATAAATTTCAATATTCATTTAGAAATTAATTTTATGATGCTGTCCTAAGTATTAAAATACAGGTTATACTTAAATCATTCAAAGTTTGGCATGTTCACACATGTGCACAAAGTATTTGATAGATATTTACACACTGGGAGACACAATTATGGTCTGACTTTGGAGTTTTGGCAGATCTGGGTTCAAATTCTGGCAAGTTTCCCTACTAGCTTTTTTTGGGTGCGTGTGATCCGAACCCTCGGGCGGGAGCGCCGCCGCGCTTCCCAAGCGGCGCACTATCCAGTGCGCCACCGGGCCGGCCCAGTGACAGCTTTTTTAATGCTTACTGATATTACATGGCTTTTTTATATCTGTATTTACTCTGGTAAAAGAAAAAGGAATTTTCTCTTATTTGTATCAGTGGGTTAATAAATATTAAAGTTGTTTACAGTGATTTTGCTAAGCTGAACTCATGCTAATAAAGGTAGTTATAAATATCAGGTATTTCATGGGAACCCGTTATTTTGCTGCTTTTTGAGATCCCTTGTATTTTTCTTATTTTACCTGTTGCAAATTTTAGGTTATCTGAAAACCATGTCAGCAAATGGAAGGTCATAAACCGAATCATAAATTAATACACAGTCAATCCTCATTTGTAGATTACGTATTTACGAATTTATACATTTATAAAACTTATTTGTAACCCTAAAATCAATACTCAGGGTGTTTTTGTGGTTACTCTTGGACAGGTACAGAGTGGCAAAAAATTTGAGTTTCCTGGTGCCTGTTCCCAGTAAGGCAATGAAACTCCACCTTCCTGTTTCAGCTCTCATACTGCAACCAAGTGTCTTTTTTGTGGTGTATTTAGTGCTATATTTTTTATGCTTTTCTGGGAGGGGGGGATGATATAGTTGAATAAAATGGCCTCCAAATGTAGTGCTGTAGTGCTGAAGTGCTGTCTAGTGTTCCTAATTGCAAGAAGACTGTGATGTGCCTTAGAAAATGTGTTGTATACGCTTCATTCACGCATGAGTTACAGGACTATTGGCCTTGTGTTTAATGGTAATGAATCAACAATATATATTAAGTAAGGTGTCTTTAAACAGAAACACACATAAAACATGGTTATATATTGATTGGTTGATGAAAATGTTATGACCAGTGAAAGGAACGCACGGACGAAGGAAGCACGCGAGAGCCGGGCTAACGGTTCGCCAGAGAAGTTCCGCTTTATTCAAGGACTGCGCGTACATTTATAGGGTGCTGTGCTCCGGGGCGGGAGAGAGAGTGGACGGGGCGGTAACTGATTGGACGGGGCTGGGCAGGAGGTGAGCCTTGACCTGTGACTGGCTGAGGTTTGGCGTGGGTGGGCTTGGGTGTTGGCGCCAGTGGGCTTGTTTACTGCGGAGAAGAACCAGGAAGGGCGCCATATTGCCAGGGTGTGTCCCTGTTCAGGCGCCCATGGGGTCCCTACAACCAGATGTTTACAGGAACCTAACCCTGTATTTCCTGTAGGAGTAATGGTTCAGTACTTACTAATTAGTGTACAAGGTGACTTTACAGAACATAACTACTGCAAATAGCAAGAATCAACTATTTTTGTAAAATTTATGATACCTTTCTTGAATAGAATTCTATAATTTTTAGATGTTTTTCACCTGCATTATCTTTGGTTTTCATGTTGACCTGTGAGATGGGGATATTATTATTATGAATGTGAAATGTTGCAAACTAATTATATATTTAGTTCAAAATTGGCTTTTGTCTTAAAATGTTTCACTAAGTAAAGTAATAATAAAATTCTCTTTTTCTTTTGCTATTTTCTATTTCTATTGTTTTTTGGTAAATCTGATTCAGCCTGATGAAAGCAAAGGCGATATGCATTATGATGCTGAGATTATCCTTAAAAGACAAACCTTGTTAGAAATACAGAAGTTTCTCAGTGGAGAGGACTGGAAACCAGGAGCCTTGGATGATGCACTAAGTGATATTTTAATTAATTTTAAGTTACATGATTTTGAAACGTGGAAGTGGCGATTTGAAGATTCCTTTGGAGTAGATCCATATAATGTGTTGATGGTAAGAAGGAATGAGGGCGACATGGTTAAGATTCCTTTTAAAAATATCTTTTAAACTGCACCATAATGACATTACGAACCTATACTAAGTTATTCATACTGTGTTGATGAACAAGTAGCAAGGTTGTACAAATAATTTTGTGTATTTGAATCCAGTTCGTTTTTAGTGTTTTTACTGTGCTTTTGAGATGGACACCTTGGCAGTGATTCTGATTTCTGCTTCTTTCTGTTTTTGAGGTACTTCTATGTCTGCTTTGCATCGTAATGTTAGTAGCTACAGAGCTGTGGACGTATGTTCGTTGGTACACCCAGTTGAGACGTGTTTTATTCATCAGTTTTCTCTTCAGTTTGGGATGGAATTGGATGTATTTATATAAGGTATTAAATAGATGGAGGGTTTTAATTTTTTTAATGTTAATTCATAATAAAAGAAGACTATAATCCATTTAGAGCAATCTTCCCTCAGATGTGGGTTAGAGGTAGTGATTGGAGGTGGTACACGGTGGGAAGGAATTAAATTGGCAGATCTCAGCTGTATGTGGTTTTTTTGGGTACTTGATCAGTTAGTGGGAAAAAAGTGCAGTTCTAATTTTCATAACCCAGTTATTGTTGGTAGCATCTGGACAGCTAAGTCAGAATAGAGCTAGCTAGACACATTTTAAAAATTCTTATGTATGTATTTTGGGGTATGTTCTTTTATTCTTTGCTAGAAGTAATAGCAAAATATTATTTTTTAAAAATCAGGTTATTTTCTGATTATAAAAGTGGTATGTTTCTGGTAGAGAATTTAGAAAAGACGAAAAATACAGAGAAATTAATTTTTAAAAAGCACCTATAATTTTATCACCTAGAGATAATTGTTGTCAATATTTTGAAGTATTTCTTTCCAATCTTTTTTCCAAATTTTAATTTTCTTTCAAAGTTGGGATTATACTGTATAGAGAAATTTGAAAGGACCACTACCATTCCTGTTAAGATAGCATAGTCATCAAAGGAAAATTTTAGATCTTTCTATCAGGGTGAGTCAAGTAGCCAAGTATTTTCAATGAATTCATCTGATTAAATCATTGTGATAATTCCTTAACCTTTTGCTCTAAGTTCTTTAGCTTCTAGAACTAATTATTTTACAAATTAATAGCTAGGTTCTATGTGGAAGGAAGGTTGTTTGGTAGAATATTGCCACCTCAGTGATTTTCCCTGGGGATTTGATTTATAAAAGATATATTATCTTTACATTAGTCATTTGTGCTGAAAACCATCCAGAACAAAATACCATTTTATCATAAAATGGAAGTCATTTAATTTGTATAGCTATATTTTCATGCACGATATGAACTATGTTAGAGCTAATTTTTTAAAAGAAATTTTTAGTAAAAAAGGTTTCCTTCATCATAATTACTTACAAAGAAGGCAGTTGTAGTTCATTCCTTATGCTTACTTGTTGCATTATGACCATGCTTTTCTATGAGCTGAAAACAGCTACTCTTTAGTACTAATATGTATTTTTTCTATTAAAAATTTTTAAATAGTCGTGTAGATGAATGGTAAAGACATACTTTGAACTAAGGTTTTTTGGATGTTAGGCACAACCTTCAGTATTAGCCTTTCATGGTTCCCCCTTTTGTTTTTGGTCAGCTCGCTTTTGCACAGCATCAGGCTGAAGTTGCCAAGATGGAGCCATTAAACAATGTGTGTGTTGAAAAGATGGATTGGACTGGAAGTATCTGGGGTAAGGCATTTGTTCACATGCCTTATTTTGAATAGAATTTCTGAGAACGATAGAACGTATTAGTAATTACAAAGAAAATGATAAAATTCTAGAGGAGACTTTCCACAACTGAATCTTTTTTTTTTTCCTTTTTGTCTTTTTTCGTGTCCGGCAACGGACCGCAACCCTCAGTGTCGCGCCCGTACCGGACCGGGACCGGCAACGGGATCGCAACCCTCGGTGCTGTGCCTGCCCCTCGCTCAGCCAGTGAGTGGGAACCGGTCTGTATGTGGGATCCGAACCCTCGGTGGGAGCGCCGCTGCGCTCCCAAGTGGCGCACTGTAGCAGTGCGCCACTGGGCCGGCCCCACGACTGAATCTTTACTGTTATAAAAACATACAAGAAGAGTATAGGTTTAAAACCAGTGATTTTTTGTGTTCATGTAAAGTCATAGGGAAGGAGGAGAAGAATAAAAATTGTGTACATGTTGGCTCTGATATTTTCTGTCTTCCTCCATTAGAATGTGAAGGATCCTGTGCTTGCTTTTGTTCACCTAGTCCTTAGCACAGTGTCTAGCACATTTCTCAGAAGAAGTTTATTTAAAGAAGTGAGTGGATGTATATATGAATTAATATCCGTCTTAGATTTAATCTTCTTATATTGACTTAAGAAATCTTATGCTGTAGCTTTACTGTATTTTTTTAACTAAGAGAAAAATTATTTTGTTTTTTGTTCTTACAGATTTTATAAATATTCTCACTAATGGTTTTTTTTTTTTTTTTTTTTTTTTTTCAAATTTTTAAAAAATTTTAAAAAAAAAAAAAATTTTTTTTTTTTTTAAAATTTTTAAAAATTTTAAAAAAAAAAAAAATTTTTTTTTTTTTTTTTGTCCTTTTTGAGACCGGCCACACCGCGCTCAGCCAGTGGGCGCTGTGAGCGCACCGGTCATCCCTATATAGGATCGAACCCACGGCGGGAGCGCTACTGCACTCCCAGCGCCACACTCTCCCGAGTGCGCCACGGGCTCAGCCCATATTCTCACTAATGTTGACTACCTTTAGTTGTGTATACCTAGCAGTGGAAATGGTTTAACGTTCAAAGGCACTTTATAAATGCAAGTCTGTAATGACTGACGCGGAATAGAATCTCAGTAGATTCTACAAATGGGTTCCAAAATTAATGTTTTTTTTAAAAGTTGTGAGAACTAACCCAATTTAGCTTTGCCTCCTGGCTTCAGGGGACTATAAAACGCCTGCTGTAGCTCAGGCTAGTTTCCAAATACATATAAAGCCTTATTTAGAAAACTTGGAAGAACTATTGTTCTACTTTATTTTGCAAAATCAGTAAAGAATTGACTTTTTCAATTGAAATTTTATTGAGATAATTGTAGATTCACAGGGAGTTGTTAGAAATAATAGAGAGAGAGCCTGTGTACCCTTTTCCCATTTTCCCCCATGGTAACATGCAATAATATAATACTAGAATAGTACAATGTCAGAGCCAGGATACTGACTTTGGTACAATCCACCAATCTTATTCAGATTTCCCCACTTTTACTTGTATTCATTTGTGTGTGTAAAAAACTGCTTTTAATTATGTACCTTTTAGAAATTTTTATAAAATATAATTTTTTAATCTGTATAAGACTTGTATACTTTGAATGGATTTTTAAAATAAACATGATTTTGGACAGCAGATAAGCATTTTAAAAATCAACATTATAGGGAGTCTATTTAAAATTTAGAACAATTTAAAATTGGTGGATGGTCAAGGAGGGTCAAAACCAAAATATTATCTTATTTGGGAATGAAATGCAACCTTTTTTTTTTTCAGTGATTCAGTGTTTTGTCTGTTTGTTTCTTTAAATAGAATGGTTCAGAAGTTCATGGACCTATAAGGATGACCCATGCCAAAAATACTATGAGCTCTTATTAGTCAACCCTATTTGGTTGGTCCCACCAACAAAGGTATAGAATGTATTTTTTAAAATTGCCTATACAAAGTAAGTCAAAAACCCCTTGTATTTATAAAAAGTTTAGTGTTTTTCAGAGTTGTTTTGCTAACAATAAACCTTTGTCCTAGAAAAAATATTTCTATTACAGTGATTTTTACATTAAAAGTGGCATGTAACAACATTTAATTTTAGTAACAATTTCAACCTCAGTACACAGTGAATTTTGACTTACTCTGTGTGCTGCATTCCTTTGCAGAAAAAATTAAGTTGCTTTTATCTTTTGTTTTAAGGCACTGGCAGTTACATTCACCAACTTTGTAACGGAGCCATTGAAGCACATTGGAAAAGGAACTGGTGAATTTATTAAAGCGCTAATGAAAGAGATTCCAGTGTTACTTCATATTCCAGTGCTGATAATTTTCGCATTAGCTGTCCTGGTTAGTATATTAACACTCTTGCTGTTTAGCAGGATTTACAGAAAAAAGACAATTCTAAGATTACTAAGCTGCTTTGATACTGTAAATCAGGGTAAGTCATGCTTGATAGTATGAGAAGGTGATTTTTAAGTGATACAGACTTATTTACACTTACATGTATATTCTTCTAATCAAGGAAGTGGTTCTCTAGTTTGATTGCAGATGTCATAGTAGTGATTTGGAATAATAACCTCTTTTTATATTTGTTCTTTAAACTTGGTGAAATAATGCACAGGGAGTATAATAATGCACAGTAATCAGCTGATTACTCCTGCTTTGAGGAAGGGGCCTTATTGCAGTCTGAGTTTTTGCAGCACTGCGAAGGGAAGAGCATTGGGTTTAACAGAATCGGAAGAGGATGTGGAAAAAGGTGGGTGTACTGAGAGGGGGATCCAGAGTGGACATTTATTAAGAAGGAATATTACTTGCCATTCATCCATGGTCTGTTCAGCTTTTTGTTGTTGATTTTCAGCAATTACCCAAATAAAGCAGTTGTCACATAAAACAAAAGTAAAGAACTCAGATATGCTATGGGAGATTCTCCTCCCTAAGAATTCAAAATTCGCTATGCTCTGTTCACTTTGAAATTGTTCGTTTTTTGGTTGTTTTTTGGCTTGTGATTACAGGATTCAGTGGTTTAGAGGTATGATTTTGTTAGGTGACATTAATTTTGTAGTATTTCAGTCTCTGAAACTGAAATAAGCAAAAGCCCCATTATGTTTTTGCTTCATCTGCTCCCTAAGAAAATTTATGCTCTTTGACTTTTGCTGCTTTTGTCTTTAAAGAATAGTGTATCTCTAGTACAGACATTTTTAAATTTTTTGTTTTCAGGACCCTTTTGCATTCTTAATAATAAAAGACCACAAAGAGCTCTTGTTTATGGGGATTCTATTTACCATATTAGGAATTAAAACAGAAATTTTAAAAATACGAATTCAGTATACACAAGCACACATCCCATGAACTGTCAGAGTACGGATGTCACTCTAGCCTCTGGAAGACTCCACTGTACACTCACAAGAGGACAATAAAAAAGACAAATAAAGTCTTTGTATTATGAAAAGTTTTGTTCTCACAGATCTGAGTCTTAGGAATCCCCTGAGGTCCCTGGGCCACACTGATAACTGCTGCCTAGTTTTTCCCATGGAATGTGAATCAAAACCTTTTGAATTTTAGCTGTAGCTTAAGTCAAGTTTGTATTTGTAAAAAACCTACAGGAGAATGTTTACAGAATGATGTATAACTTTTAAATAATTTTAAGCATTTACCTTATATGATGTGCATGAATATAGAAACATGAGCAATTATCAGACAACTAGAACCTTCTAATTTAAGTTTCTAGGCTTCAGCCTAACTACTGTTGTTATAATTCAATCAAAAGATGTCTAGCTGATTGAAATGTCTACTTAATACTGAGTGATTTATTAAGTTTTATTGGCCACTCTGGCCCTGTATTACTCTAAAGAAGATGTCTCTAATAAAAGCAGTGAAATTAACATGTTTATGTCTATAAATGCCACAAGTATAATTTTGTCAACACCCTGAATGAAACACCTAACTTCATTATAAGTCAGCCATTAAGTCCTCAGAAAAATGTATTTCTTTTCCTTATAGAGTTTCTGCTATGGTGCTGGAAAATCAGTTAATGTGCTGAGACATTTAGGTGGTCCTGAGAGAGAACCTCCCCAGGCACTTCAGCCAGGAGATGGAAGACGGCGAAAGGAAATTGATTATACACCCCACGGTGGAGCAGGTGATGCAGATTTCTATTATAGGGGCCAAACTGAGCAAGGCCCTTACGACAAAACTTATGAGGGTAAAAGAGATGTTTTGAGAGAGAAAGACTTGAGATTTCAGACTGGCAGCAAGAGGCCTGAAGTGCTCCGGGCATTTGATTTACCAGACGAAGCAGCACAAGAGCAATCCAAGGTGGTACTCAGTGTAAGTCAGCAGCTGTTTATTTTGCTGTCCCTTCATACTAGGCCTAAATGCTTCCTATGTAGGTTTTGATTCAGTGTTTTTACTCTAACTTTTCCCCTGCTCTGTTAATTATATAATAATATATGATTATATAACAGTGATATAATTAGTCACTTTCTCTCTCTCCCTTTCTGATCAAAAGTTAGTCCAACTTCCTCAAAGGAAATAAAATGAAATTTAATTTTTATGTGAAAGACTATTTACAGTAGTTTGTTAGAACAGTGGTAATTCATATGGGGTTTCATAGGAAGTTGATAAGTGAGCATGTCTGAAGTTTCTGCCTTTGAAGAGATCAGAGAGAAGGCCCCACTGAAGACCCAGAGCCCTAGGGAGCTGGCAGTAGAGGCCTTCAGAGGCCTTTAGGCTTAGTTGGACGGAAAAGTGGGCTGGGGAGAGATTGAAAACTTTGCCTTCCTAAATCTTTCATATCATTGACTTGCTAGACTATACTTTTTACCTGCAGAATAGTGAGGATTTTTTTTTTTTTTTAAACCATTATTGGTCATTTAAAGGGACATTTCTATTTCTGTTTGAGAGAGGAATTTGTATTGTCATTTGCAAAGTTTAGGTTACAATCATAAACCTTTGATAAATAATTATGAGCACAGTAGAATCTAGGAAATTAAGAATCCCTTCCCATATAGAGTTCCTTATAACAATAAACATATCTACATTAGAAAACCATAAGGTGCTCCTTCCAGCTTTTATAGTTAATGATTATCTGTCACTCATCTCAAAAATCCTCCAGTGTCTTCCCGTATCATTGAAGGGAAAGCCCCTTATCACAGTGGCCTAGGGGCTTCCTTGGTCTGTCCCTACCCCACCATCTACTACCTCACTTGTCATCAGCTCACCCTCCACACTCACTACTCAGCCACAGGGGCCTTGACTGTTCCTTGAATTCAGAGTCTTTGTACCTGCTGTTCACTCTATCTAGAATGCTGTTTACCCATATATCATATTGTCCCTTCCTTCAGGCCTTTACTCGTCACTTTTTCAGACCACCCTAATTTAAACTGCAAGCTGACCCTACCACCCTACCCCACCCCACTTTCAGCTCTCATCTCATATCTTTGCATTTTCTACATAGCCCTTAATTCAACAGAAAATTAGTTTGTTGCCTGATTCTCTCCCCTACCTAAATGTAAGTTCCAATAAGAGCAGTTTTTTTGTTCCTGATGTATCCCCAGCACCTAGAACTTAATATATATGCTCAATAAATATTTATCAAATAAATTATTCTCACCAGATAAGGAGTTAGCAATACTGGTTACCAATCCTCTTCACCCCATCTAAGCTGGGTCACTAAAGCACCTAGTATATCTTAAGTGTCCCCACTCCTCCACGTACAGTTCTGTGAAGCTTAATAACATGTAATTATACTCCAGTGCTGGAACCAGGATTTGAAAGAGGTTGGAGCTCACTACAACAGATTTGGGTAGGAACTTGTTAGATATGTTTGATTACTAAACCTCACAGTATGTTAATTACATAATTAAAACAAAATGTAATTCTGTACTTTATAGCATAAATCACCTGTTTTGGATACAAAACCTAAAGAGATTGGTGGAATCCCAGGAGAAAGCACATTGACAGAAAGCAGTGCTGAAAATAGCCAGTCTGCTAAGACTGTCTCTGGCCAGGAGATATCAGAGAATACAGAAGGTTCACCTGCAGTAGAAAAGGCCCAGCTCATGATGGAAGCTAAAGGCAGCCCAGAGGAAGGCAGCATGTACAGCCCAGCAAGAACTGTAGCCGGCGCATGTGGAAAGGATCCAGTTGGCAGCCCATGTGGCTAGAGGAACACAACATGGGTGACAGCTCTAAAATCTTCTTTGGGTTTTTAAAAGTGTACTCTTAACTCTACTCATTCTTCACTACAAATATTCTGATATTTACTACAAAGGTGCCAACTTAAACATTAATAATTTACTGACAATCAGAATTAACAAACGTGTATATATGAAAGCTTCCGTTTAATTTCATCATCTTCTCTTTGATATATACATCCTATAAAGTTTTGAAGTGTTGACTTTGGAATAATCTCAGAATTTACATTTTAAGATGAATGTTTGGCAAGCATCACTGATTCTGGATAGTTGAGGAGGCCAGTTTGAATCAGAGGACACTGAAAAAGAAATGTTATTGTTTACAGGCATTTATAGGAACCAATTAGCCAAAGTGTTGCCTAGTGGAAGTTCTATAATACCTACTTTAGTTAACAGAATAATTTGAGGCCGGCCCGTGGCTCACTCGGGAGAGAGTGGTGCTGATAGCACCAAGGCCACGGGTTTGGATCCTATATAGGGATGGCCGGTTTGCTCACTGGCTGAGCGTGGTGCTGACAACACCAAGCCAAGGGTTGAGATCCCCTTACCGGTCATCTTTAAAAAAAAAAAAAAAACAGAATAATTTGTTAGTTCTGGGTTGGATTCAAAGTGTTTCTAATGTGATAGGTACTGAAAAACTATTTTTAAGAGAGTACAGTATAGTTAAGCTTACCCTCTTTATGCACTTTAGCCTCGATGCAGCCATGGAGTGTGCATTACCAGTATCAGTCCAACTGACACCTCAATTTGTCTCTTTGTAGGCCACCCGCAGATCAGTGTGGCTTTCTAGTTTCATTCCTTCTGCAACTATTAACTGGGCCTCTTCCTTGTCACTTCCCTTTTTTGGCAGGGGGAGGGGGCTGGGTGGGGGGAGTAGATGGAGAGGGGCGGTTGGACAGTATGGGTCTCCAAACCCTTTGGTGTTACAAGGTGGCACTCTAACCAACTGAGCTAACTGGTGAGCCCACTTCTTTTAATATATGCTTAGCTAGATAGAACTGAAGAGTGCCAGGGGAATTTAAATAATATAGCTTGTTATATTGGTAATCTCAGTTTTACATAGTCAACAGTTTTTGAGAATGGCTTTATTCTTTCCCCACCAAATGACGCACACAGGCTTTGTAATAAGACCTGTTTTCCTTGTTGCTCAGAATCCTAGCAGCCGAGAATATTAGATATTATCATATCCTATTTATATTATAGCAAACCATGTTGTCTCAGCCACATAAAGGTCTAAGTTTTAGAGATCTGTACATAGAGAAGAATACCATGATAAGGAAAACAGGGCAGGGTGTTTTCCTTAACTGCAAACAGGTCATCAGTCAACGTTTTAAAATTAGTTTTTCTGGGCTGGCCAGTTAGTTCAGTTGGTTAGAGTGTGATGTTGTAACACTATGGTCAAGGGTTTAGATCCTCCTCCTGGCCAGCTGCCACACACACACAAAAAATTAGTTTTTCTGATTTTAAAAAGCATTTATTTTAAACTTTTTAAAACAGCAATTTATAAGTTTTGCACATGTCCCTAGCTAGCAGAGCTCACATACATTCAGGTGTCTTGTTTTAACCATATTCACCCTAGAAGTTATGTTCAGCTGCTTACTGTTATGCCAGTTGGGAATAAAAATCTTAATTTTCATGCAGGCATTTGTTTCAGAAAAAAAGACATTCAAAGCAGTTGCTTTTTGATATTTTTTACATGAAATGCAGAATACCCATTTTTGGCTCCCAGAAATGTTACTTAGGTGCCTGTAACAATTTAATTTTACATGTTAATTTTCTTTTTTTTTGTGACCGGTAAGGGAATCGTAACCCTTGGCGTGGTGTTGCCCGCCCCACGCTCAGCCAGTGAGCGCACCGGCCATCCCTATATAGGATCCGAACCCGCGGCCTCAGTGCTCCCAGCGCCACACTCTCCCGAGTGAGCCACGGGGCTGGCCCTACATGTTAATTTTCTTTTTTTTTGTGACCGGTAAGGGAATCGTAACCCTTGGCGTGGTGTTGCCCGCCCCACGCTCAGCCAGTGAGCGCACCGGCCATCCCTATATAGGATCCGAACCCGCGGCCTCAGTGCTCCCAGCGCCACACTCTCCCGAGTGAGCCACGGGGCTGGCCCTACATGTTAATTTTCTAATTGCAAACATCTTCAGGATTTCCTGAGAAAGGTAATCATTTTTTTCAAGAAATACAAAAGGATTTTATATTAAGATTTATAACAAAGCAGGCATGAATTAATGAAAGGATGTTTGCAGTTTGGATTTGTGAACATCTAAACTGTGCATTTGTGCATATAAGGTAGTCCTCTCTGGGGACTGGTGAATATGGTCCCAAAGTGGGACCTCTGAGCTATATGGTCTGATTCTTAAGAGAAGAATGCCTCAAGTGATAGATTGTGAGAGTAGAGTTAATGCTGCTTGCAACTCCTGACTGCTTTTAATAGATCCAAAAATTAATCCTTTAAAAAATATATAAATAAGATTTCATCTTTGTATTCTTTCATTACAGATATGCATTTGGGGATGAGGTCTACTTTGACAGCTAGCAAGGCAACATGCTACTGCTGTAAATGATGACAGCAATTCAGGGAAGACTATTAAAGCAAATTGAACATATCAAAGCCAGTTTATTATCAAAAAAGAGATAAAGCTTGTTTATTGGTCAGTATTTGTCATTAAAAGTAAAGCTTATAGTGAGAATCTTTTAGGAAAATCAGAATGGGTAGATGTTAAAAGCAGTTTTTAAATGGAATAGATAATGTTGAATGTTTACAGGATCTAAGAACCACTGTATACACAAAATAAACATTTATTTTTACACATTATTGTTGTTTGGTATGCTCTCTTTGCTTATTGAATATTCTTATAAGAAAAAGCCCCATGAAACTTATGTGCAGTTTTTAAAATTATGCTATCCAGAGCATCATAATTTATATGTAATATATATGAAACATAATGTAACCCAGGTTTTAACTTAGTAGTTTTGACAAAATTTGTCTGATCTTAGAACTAAGAATTTTTTTTTTTTTTTTTGGCTGAGCACTTCATATAATTCCAGACTCTGTGTAACTTTTTTTCAACATTGGCCGTTTAGAGAAGTAGTTCTCACTGTCCATCAAAATCACCTGAATGACTTTTTGAAGAACAGAGGCCCAGGTCCCATTCCAGCTGTGCAGAATCAGAAGCAACCAGAGATGAATGAGCTGCCAACTTGTTCCTGGTGTGGGCATTTGCATTCTGCAATTCAGCCATACTTAGTCCAGGACCTGCTCTGTCCCATTTTTCTCGTCTTTTTTTTGCTACACTTTATCTCCTTTTACGTTTCCTTCTGTGGGAACAAGGGGGGGCTAGGCTTGATGACAGCTGAGGTCCTAATTGATGTCTTTCATACTTAATTTTTGTGAGTTTTTGTTTTCTATTTACGTGGCCTGGGTTCTTGACATAACCACATGGGTGTTTTTTGTTTTTTTTAATACATTAGGTCCTATAAATTTGTTTCACAGTAGTATTATAAACAAATGAGACTATTTTAAACCATAATTTTTTTTTTTTTAACCAAAGCATGCTAAATGAAGTTTATTTAAGAGTTTCATTTATACTGGTTTTCGCCGAAAAATATACTGAAAATAGATTTTCTCAGAGAAAAAAATCTAGATTTTTAAAAAATGACTTTTATATAACTTTTTTTTACATTGGTCAAGTACATTATTTTTAGTAAAGAACATAATTTACCACTATATTCATGGTTAAGTATTAAAAAAATGCCATAGTCAATTAAGATTTTTGAAACTGAGCAAGAAGATTAAACTCTAGGATTCATTTAACTTCCTATTTTACAAACACTAGGTAAAGGAATCTTAAAAAGTTACCAAAGAACACAGTCCCAAGCAATAATTACAGAAAATTGATGAAGCACCTTATAGGACACCTCCACCTTGAAATAAGTGAATGTCCAGAGGAATTAATTCCTTAATACTACACTATTGGAGGTTAAATATTTACATCAGTCTAAAAACATTTTAAGTTGTATTATAGTGCTATAAATTCTCCCTTTAAGAAAAAAAGTAATAGATTTTCCCTGCAGTGTTCTGAAAGGAAATAAGATCTTTTCTTAAAAAAATTTCCACAGTAACTAGTGGTTTACTGATTTTTTTCCTGAATTTTTAAATTCCAACAAAGCATTACTTTGTAAAAGGTCCTTTAGTCCAAATTCAGTGTCTCTGTTTTCATCTCTCTGTAAAAGAACTCTCTGTTCATCCATTCTTTTCGCCTGAGACCGTAAAATAAGGCTAAAAAAATCTTCATCTGGTACTGTTGGACCCTTTGTGGCAACAGGGGGTGGAGCACATCTTTGATCATCTAATCTGGATCCCTAAAAATTTGAGAAAGAGATTAAAACAAAAATACTGCAGGGAAGGAAAATACCATGTTAATATGTCTGTCGGGCAACAAAAAATGTAGCTGTAAACATTTTTTTGCCTCTTACTTAATCTTTAGACCTGAAACCTAGCAAAACTTTTTCTTTGAACTGACTTATACAATCAAAATATAAAAGTATATCTATAGCTATATGGGCTTAAATGTACATAAGTGTACTATTCTGTCATAATATTTTAGTTAGAAATGGTCAGAAAGAATCTGGGATGAATTAAAATACAAGATCAACTATGTTCAAGTATGACAGTTCAAGGTTATAATCTTACCATAGTAAGTATCAACAATATAACTTACCAAATCTTTAGAAGTATGTTATATACAGAAATCCTGCAGCACTACTTTAAAAAATATTTTCTTTGGCGAGGGGATGGCAAACTGTAACCAAATGCCTGCTTCTGTAAATAAAATTTTATCATTTCACCACCCAAACATTTGTTTGTGTACGCTCTATATGGCTGCTTTCCTGCTACAACAGCGGAGTTGAACAGTTGCAACAGACCTAATGGCCTCCAAAGCCTTAAAATATTTTCTATCTGGCTCTTTACAGAAAAAGTTTGCTTACCTCCTATTTTATTCTTTTTGATGCTATTTTAAATGGAATTGTTTTTTTACTTTCCTCCTCCAATTGTTCATTGTTGGTGTACAGAAACACAACTGATTTTTGTGTTGATTTTGTATCTGCTACTGAATTTGTTGATTAGTTCTAACAGTTTTTTCTGGAATCTTCAAGGTTTTCTATATAAATAACATGTGAACAGAGATAATTTTACTTCTTCCTTTCTCCTTTTCTTTCTTTCTTGCCCAAGTTATTGCTCTGGCTATAACTTCCAGTACTATGTTGAATAGAAGTGGTAAAAGTGTGCATTCTTGTCTTGCTCCTGATCTTAGAGGAAAGCTTTCAGTCTCCCACCATTGACTATGTTGTTAGCTGTGTTTTTGTATATATGGCTTTTATTATGTTGTGGTAGTTTCCTGATGTTCTTAGTTTAAGTGTTTTTATTATGAAACGGTGTTAAATTTTGTCAGATGTTTTTTCTGCATCAACTGAGATGATTATGTGGGATTTTTTCCCCTTTCATTTTGTCATTGTGGTGTACTACATTGATTGATTTTCATATGTTGAACTACCCTTGCATTCCAGGAATAAATCCCACTTGGTCATGGTGCACACTCCTTTTCATATGTTGCTGAATTTGGTTTGTATTACTTTGATGATTTTCACATCTGTATTCATAAAGGATATTGGTCTGTACTTTCTTGTAATGTGTCTAGCTTTGGTATGGGGCAATATTGGCCTCATAGGATGAGTTAGGAAATGTTCCTTCCTCTTCAATTTTTTTGGAAGAATTTGAGAAGGACTGGTGTTATTTAAATGTTTGGTAAAATTTACTAGGAAAGCTATGAGGTTTAAGCTTTTTTTTTTTTTTTTTTTTTTAAATCAGGAGGTTTTTGATTACTGATGCAATCTCCTTACTAGTTATGGGTGTATTTTCTGTTTCTTTACGATTTGTTCTTGGTAGGTTTTATGTTTCTAGTAATTTGTCCATTTCATTTAGCTTATCCAATTTCTTGGCATACATTTATTCATAGTACTCTTATAATTCTTTTTATTTCTGTAGAATCAGTGGTAATGGCCCCATTTTCATTTCTGATTTTAGTAATTTGAGTCTTTTCTCAGTTTGTCAATTAATGTTTTCAATGAACAAGTTTTGGTTTTGTTGATTTTCTCTGCTGTTATTCGGTTCTCTATTTTACTTATCTCTGCTCTAATTTTTATTATTTCCTTCCTTCTCCTAGTATCAGGTTTAGTTAGTTCTTCTTTTTCCAGTTCCTTAAGTTGTAAAGTTAGCCTGTTGATTTGAGCTCTTTTTTTAATGGAAACATTTACAGATATAAATTTCCCCCTTGGCACTGCCTTCATTATGTCCCATAAGTTTCAGTATGTTGTTTTCATTAGTCTCTCGGTATTTTCCAGTTTCCATTGTGATTTCTTCTTTGATTGGTCGTTTGAGTCTGTTAAATTCCCACAATTTTTTGTGAATTTTCCACTATTCCTTCTGTTTTTGGCTTCTAGCTTAATACTGTGTGGTCAGAGAAGGTACCTTGTATGGTAGCTAGCTGTCTTTTTAAATCTATTGAATGGTAGCTAGCTGTCTTTTTAAATCTATTGAGACTTAATTTGTGGCCTAACATATGGTCTGTACTGGAAAATGTCTTATGTGCACTGAAGAATATGCATGCTGTTGTGGGGTACAGTGTTCTGTATGTGCCCATTAGATCAAGTTGGTTTATTGTGTTGTTCAAGTCCTCTGTTTCCTTACTTCTGTCTGGTTGTCCCATTCATTATTGTGACTGGGATACTGAAATTTCCAACTGTTATTGTAGAACTGCCTATTTCTCCCTTCAATTCTGTCCATTTTTGCTTCATATATTTTGATGGTTTGTTATTAGGTATTATCTTCAGTATTTCTTGAATCCGCTGGGACCACTGCTACTTGTTACTTTCATACTTTTCATTTTCCTTTTTTTTGTCTTTTTCCTTTTTTGTCTTTTTTTTACTGACCAGTAACGGGATCGCAACCCTCGGTGCTGCGCCCGCACTGCGCTCAACCAGTGAGCGGGAACCGGTCTCCACATGGGATCCGAACCCTCAGCGGGAGCGCCTCCGCGCTCCCAAGCGGCGCACTATCCAGTGTGCCACTGGGCCGGCCCATACTTTTCGTTTTCTTACTTCCCTTCTTTACAACCTAGATTCATTAAAATTTTCCCCTGGCATATGTCTTCAATTACCCTTCTCTTCCCTACATTTCATTCTCCTGGCAAAATACCAATTTTGATTAAATCCATCCCTCTGCCTCCTCAAGCAGCTGGTGATGATTGGAGAAAACACAACTGCACTGAACGGTCTTACTTCCAATGATCATGAACTTCAGGTGTGTGTCTTCAGCACAGTACTATATTTTCCTTGGTCAATTTAGTTTCAGTTTCTCAAAGCCAACTATTTTCCATATCCTTTCTCTTCAAATTTACAATGTCCCCACTTTGTACTTTGCTGAGAAAATAAAAGCGCCAGAGAGAATTCCTACCTGCTCAGATCTCCGTATCTATACACATTTACTCTACTTTCCCTCTCACACAAAAACTTTGTTCTTCAGCTATTCCGTACTCCCTGTATCACTGGCTCTCTCTCCTTGACCATTTCCATTTGTAGACATGCAACATTATCACGTACCAAAATAAGAAAAAAACCCACTTTTACCCTACATCTCCTATATCTCTCTCCAGCTAATGATCCATTTCTGAACTTCCCTTTATAAGCAAAACCTTTTGAAAGTTTTCAATATTTATTATCTCCCTTTTAACACTTCCCGTTTTCTCAACTCATT